ATATTATATATATATACTTTATGCTATGAAATTTTACCATAAATGTTTTAGAATATATGTAATTAATATTATATATAAATCCCCCTTATAGATAAATACATATGTCTGCGATATAAACTTTTCAACACATATAAGTTATTGGTGCGAAGGCATATAATATCCACAGTCTTGACTTAAATTTACTTTGTACATGTAAGAAATATTGGCAGTTTATATAAATAGTAAATGACTAATCTGTAACGCACAACTCTCTGTTACGGATAAATAAATATATTAAATATTATATATGATAGATAAATATTCTATATTATATCTTATTGGAATATAAAATCTTATAATTACACGATCACGCGTAAACAATTTCTTCTTATCTTTTTATACTAATTTTTATTATAAAAAGAAGCGTAAAATAGAATTATTTCTTTACCTTTGGACGTTCTATGAACGGAGGTGGTGGTAAAGATGACTCACCAGGATTCCCCAACCAAACTGATTTACTAAAACGACCTTTTATCACAGGTGCTTGCCATTTATTACTGCACATAATAGTAGTCGTAGGTTTTTCCGCGGTGATCGAGGCCATCGTTACAACCTTGAAAATGCAATAAAAATTACTTAGAATTGTTTAATAGATCGATCGATAATTAAAGTAAAATTCCTAATTAATAAGACAGATTTATACAATATTCGATGATATGTGAAATCTACAAATTATTTATAATGAAGATATTCAATAAATTAGAAGATAAATTGTTAGGAAATTATTTTAAATATAACTTAGAAATAACAAACTAATTGTTCTATATTTATGGTAAACAACATACAGGCACGTTTAAATGTTTTTGATATTAAATACGTTGTAAAATTTTTAGCGCAGTTGAATTTCTACCTCGTGTTATACTGCGAAGAAATATCTTTCTTTTCTAGGAAAAAAAATAAAAGCGTATTTTTAATATAATATATATATAAATTTTTATTAATAGTAAAATATTTTACAAATTTACCAGAAAGTAACACTTCCTATAATGTACATGTAAAAGTATAAGTTTATAAACTATTGTAATGTTTCGTTATTTTCTCTTTTTTTGTTTTTCAAATGATGTTTTTTATGATAATGATATTATAAGTATGATAATGTAGGCCTTTATGTGTATCTCGATAGCTTTTTTATCTCAGTATAATGCTACAACTAAAGAAAGAATAGGACACAATCAGGTTCATCTTTCTCTCTGCGCATAATTCAAATAATAACACATAGAAGAGGATATTTCATAAATTACTTTAAAATAACGAAGAGAGGATAGTATTGGTAATTTTAAATAATCATAAATATGGTCTCTGAAACTATCATTGATGGTATTCGCACATTTTCGTTTGATAATACTTCTGACAAAAATAATAATCCATTGTGAAAATAGAAATTTATTTTTTAATAGCAAGAAAAATGTAAAGTATCTTAACAATTTTTCTTGATAAAGAAAAGAAAAGAAAAATAAGAAAAACAGCACGATAATATTTGTTATTCGACAAAATATATGTGCTTGAGATATTATTTGAATAAATATCCATGTATTTGTCATCATAATAACAAAGATCATATGATTATGGATTCTATTGGAAATCAATCTTATTTTCTATTCTAAAGTATATTCTAATGCCAAGGTACTTGATTTGGATGACTGATGGAACCCAGTTTGTAGTACTTTGCGGTGGAAGGTGGTGGAATTCCGGTGGGTTGATTAGGTGGAGTAGCTGTAGCAGGAGTTTCAGCATTCTGAGCAGAAGTGCCATCTCCTTTTAAAACAGCTACACATTTCCAATTGTTAATATAATTGTCTTTCCATAATCTAACGCAACCATCATCCCCAGAACTTGCTAAAATAGTTCCCATAATGTTCCAGCATACGTGCCACACAGTAGTATAATGATCATCGAATTGCGCAGCTGTCGTTATCTCAAAACGCGATAAACCATTTTGAGCATTCTCCCTATGAAGAAGATTACAATCATTTTGTAATAAATATTATTCATTATTTTTCTTTTAATTGAAAAATATTATTTACTTACTGCATTGGTTTTAATATAATTATTCTTACATCCTTTGTTGCTACAGCTAGTGTATGAAAACTTCTACCTAAATTAGGTGCGAATGCAATATCATGAACAGGATCAGTAATGTTCGATAATGTTTCAGTTTTTGTCCAACGTCTACTACCCTCAGAATATTCGTATATAAAAACTTTTCCTCCGCTGGATGCATTTGTATCATCGCTTCCAACTGCTATCATCGGTGGATGTAATCTAACATATATATATATATATATATATATATACAAACACGTATAATATAAAAATTACATATAAATCAAATATCTCTTTTTATAGAGTGTAACATTAATGTTACCTTGATAACGATGGATTCCATGTAAGACAACTACATGGAAGTTTACAACTGATATCATGTTGCAAAGTCCACTGACTTAAATTCATGATATCCGGTGCTTCATATATTCTAATTACTCCATCTGCGCTACAAGTAATCAACAAAAGTCCTAATACCTTTGGAGCGAATTTCACATCTGTAACAGATGTCCTAGAATCTACTAAATTTGTTCTCCTAACCCAATGACGCATACCACGTTCTCCAGATCCTGATCCTTCAACTATATTAGATACAAAGAAATAATAAAGTAAATAATACTAGATGATGTAACGAGTTTGATAGACATACCTATTTCTTCCCAAACAGCTGCAGTACGGTCAAAAGAACACGTAGCGAGAACTTGACCGAATTCAGGATGCGCCCAAGTAACTTTCCAAACCGATCCGCTATGTGCTTTCCACGAAGCAGTTAAATGCCAATTCTCATGCTCATCTTCATCCCACACCTATGTTTTCGTTTAAATATTTATTAGTTATTTTCATATTATTTTTCTTTTAATAATATATATATATACATATTATATTACCTTTACAAATTGATCACTTGAACATGTTGCCATTCGTTTCCCATAAAAATCATATGCAATATCATGTATTAGATCTTTATGTTCTGCATTAATACTGTGTGCTTCGAACATTGTTAACTATTCTATTTAATGCAATTTATTTGTTTATTTATTTGATGCATATGTAACAATGTATATATCAGTCGTATGTATAAAAAGGTTAGGAAGCGTTCGTGTCTCCCGCTATTGGTGCGATTTAGAGATAATTAATAAAAGTTTATCGTTTTAAATTACTTCATAAATATTACCAGATAATTTAATAATATAAATATTTACACAGCGTTACTTAGTTTTTATTTTCTTTCACAGTTATTATTTTAGATTAATGTTAATTGATTATAAATTTATGTATTTCAAACTACCCGCTAATTAAAATAATGTTATTTTAGTTATGTTATATAACCACTAGAGGTGCTGTAATATTATCTGTTATTTTTATATGGGTACCTTCGTCTATGTATATTAGCTATGGTGAACATGTGGGGCCATGTGTTTTAATAATTGGTAAACTAGATTTTAGGTTGTAACAAAGAAAAATAAAATGGGATTGCAAAAGCAAGCTTTTAAGCGAAAGCGAGATATTCTAAAAAATAGAACTAATCAGCAACAAAGTGTCCAAACTTTACAAGATATAGATAATCTTGAAGATGCTGAAGTATGTTATTTATTTATATTATCTATTTTCACACATTATTTATTTATCTCTTATTTATTCCTCTTAATTCTATATAATTTTGATATTTTAGGATTCTGACATCGATGATTACTTAATAAATGAACTAGACAATAATGAACTTAGTACAGATGAAGAAACAGAAGATAATCATGATAATTCTGACTCAGACAGAGATCTAATAAAAAATTTGTTCTCATCTGATGAAAATAGTGAATTAGAATTTGGTTTTTTATCTGAAGATGATATTGATGATTATGATGATGATGATGATGATGATGATGATGATGATGACGATAATGATGATGATGAAGATGATGATGATAACGATGAAGAAGAGGAGGAGGAGGATGATGATGATGATAATGATGGTTATGATGATTATGATGAGAACGATGAAGAAGAAGAGGAGGAAGATTATAATGATGATGAAGATGATGAAGAAGAAGAAGAAGAAGAAAATAGTTATGATAGTGGAAAGAATGAGGAAAATATTTATAATACTGATGATGAAGAAAACAAAGAAGAAAAAGATAGTAATGATAGCAAAGAAAAAAGACTAACAAATAATGATATAAACAAAAGTAAAAGTATAAGTAAGATGAAGGAGATTAAAACAAAGTTAAGTCCTAAAGGGAAGAATAAATTAAAAAATAATTCTAATAAATTACATAAGATACAAACGAAAGAAAATTTAAATTCTACGAAATCTTTAAAACGTGAGAAACGTAGTGAAAAACTCGAAAAGAATAAAAATAATATGAAATCTCAGACCAATAAAGTAAAAGTTTTAAATAAAACCAAATCTGTTAAGGACGTTGAATCGAATAATAAAAGTAATGGTAAGTGAGAGAGACAATAAAATTCAATGTAAAAACGAAAATATTCATAATATTTATTTTTGTTGTGTAGATCAAGAATATGAATATGACAGTTCGGACGAAGAGGATATTCGTAATACCGTAGGTAATATACCCATGAAATGGTACGATGAATATGATCACATTGGTTACAACTGGGAAGGTAAAAAAATCTTGAAACCAGAGAAAGGGGATCAATTGGATAATTTCTTAAAGAGAATGGAAGATCCAGATTTTTGGAGAACAATAAAAGATCCTCAAACTGGACAAGATGTTCTACTTAGCGAAGAAGATATACAATTAATTACTAGAATACAAAAGCAAAAAATTCCTGATGTACAATTCGATGAATATGCTGTAAGTAATGTCTTTATCTTTATATAATGTAACATTATTTTAATATTTTTTAATGAATTATTATTTGATTATATTTAGCCATGGGTTGAATGGTTTACATCGGAAGTTATGAAAACACCGCTTCGTAATTTCCCTGAGCACAAACGTTCATTCTTGCCTTCTAAACTTGAAGCTAAAAGAGTATCCAAATTTGTACATGCGTTAAAAATGGGTTGGATGAAATCGACAGCAGAAATGGAAAAAGAAAAAGAACAAAAAGATAAAACACCAGAGTTCTATATGTTATGGCAGTCAGATGATCAAGCTGAGGAAATGCGTAGAATTCACAAACATATACCACCACCTAAGAGACATTTGCCTGGTCATGCGGAAAGTTATAATCCTCCGCCAGAATATCTATTTGATAGTAAAGAACTTAAAGAGTGGAATAAATTAAAGACGACTCCATGGAAAAGGAAGTTACATTTTATTCCACAAAAGTATACTTCTTTAAGAGAAGTACCTGCTTATCCTCGATATATCAAGGAAAGATTCAAAAGATGTTTAGATTTGTATTTATGTCCAAGAGCATTAAAAATGAGGTTAACAATAGAACCAGAAGCTTTGGTACCGCAATTGCCTAGTCCCAAAGATTTGCAACCATTCCCAACAACGATGTCTATGATCTTTAAAGGTCATACAGATATGGTTAGAAGTATTACAGTAGAACCAAGTGGACAATACATTGCTTCTGGTGGAGATGACATGACCCTAAAAAGTATAAATCTATATTTTTATTTATTACAAATTATAACTTTTTAATATTTGTAATAAATTTAATTGAAATATTTTGTATAGTTTGGGAAATAGCTACAGGCAGATGTACAAAAACAGTGGCTTGCGGTGGTGTAATTAGATGCGTTGCTTGGTGCCCTAATCAAGCGATATCTCTCATAGCTGTTGCAGCAGATAAAAAAGTTCTCTTAATAAATCCAGGAATCGGTGACCATCTCATTACTACCAAAACGGATCAATTGTTAGAAATAATACCGCAAAGCGATGTTATAGGTAATTTTAATTTATATCATCTAATCTCTTAAAATTTTTAATTCGAATTTATTAATTTTAAGATATATTTAATACTATGCTTATTTTATTTAAATAGTTAGTGAAAGAGTAAAATCAGCTGTACAGTGGGAACAGGCGGAGGGTGAATCATGGAGTAAAGGAATTAGATTAATATTGAATCATTTCAAAACAGTAAAACAAGTTACATGGCATGGTAAAGGTGATTACTTTGCCACAGTTATGCCCGATGGTCAAAATAGATCTGTTTTAATAAATCAATTATCAAAAAGAAGATCTCAATTACCATTCACTAAGTCCAAAGGTTTAATACAATGTGTATTGTTCCACCCGATAAGGCCTTTCCTATTTGTTGCGGTATGTAATATATAATATATTTTAATTAATTGTATTGTATATATTATATTGTGTGAAATTATTTGTAGACTCAAAGAAATGTTAGGATATATGATTTAGTTAAACAAGAAATGGTGAAAAAATTATTGTCCAATTCGCAATGGATATCAACAATAGCTATACATCCTGGTATAATATTATTATTATTTAATATTGTATATATATTATAATCTTATTAAGTCATCTGTCACAAGTATATATTTTATTAAGTTATTTCTATACATTATTTTAGGTGGTGACAATATTTTGGTTGGTACCTATGATCGTAAAATGTTATGGTTCGATTTGGATTTAAGTACAAAGCCGTATCAAACATTACGTTTACATGGCACAGGTGTTAGAGGTGTGGCTTTTCACAAACGTTATCCTCTTTTTGCTTCTGGTGCCGATGATAGAAGTCTCATTATTTCACATGGAATGGTTTATAAGTAAGATGAAACTAATATGCAGTTATTTTCTTTTTTTTTCATGTCAACATTGTAAATATTAATAACGTCTTGATCATTTTCAGTGACTTATTACAAAATCCATTAATAGTGCCATTAAAAAGATTATGTAATCATGAATCGTACAACGATTTTGGAATTTTGGATGTTATGTTTCATCCTACTCAACCATGGGTCTTTTCTGCTGGAGCTGATTCAACGATACGAATGTATACATAATATATTATATTAATTATTTTAATACAAGAAATAATAAAGGTTGAAATCAAATTCTGCAACATAGTATATGGTATATTTTCCATGGAAACTAAATTACAACGAATAAAATATAAAACAAAAAAGACACGCGTAGGAACTTATTATATTGCGACAATAAATGGTAGTGATATATATAAAACAGATGTGAAAGACTTTGTTGTAAACTTTGAATAACACAATTCGTTAAGAAATATACAATTGAACTTCTTAATAATATATTTTCTCTGTTATATTACTGGATGTATTATTTAAAGATGTCTATTAGAGGTAAGAAAATGATAAAATGTAATATATAACTAAAATATGAGTTAGATACGTGTAAGTCATATATATTAAGGTATAGGAGAATGACCTAAGCATTGCCACTCTGGTTGTCCACATTCACAAATGCGTCCTGCATGACGTACATGAAAAACGGTTACTATACCCCTACTATCGTCAAATTTACAAGTAATGTGTAAATTATGAATTAAAAAAGTATAAAACTGATTTCCCCATCTTTGTCTCAAGTATACAGATCGCGGATCTTCTCTAAGAACATTCTCAATAGCTCTTCTTTCTTCTTCGGCTTTATCTTCTAAAATTTCATTCAAATGTGTCAAAGCTCGTTCGTTAAACACTACAGATAGTGTTCGTATATTTGATCTCGATATCCATTCTGGAATTCTAACTTCGTAAGAAGCATTTTCTCTCGATTCGTTAGTACCTATTAAATTGACATCCTCTCTCTGTAATGAATTATTATCTGTAGTAGTTCTTACAGATACTGGAAAATTTGATAAAGTTTGAGAAGGTGTTAAAGTTTGCGGTTGAAAACCTTCTTCCCCGTCTGGAGCTTCTCGAATGCCCATACGTACTGGAGAATTATCAACTCTTGAATTTAACGCACATCTATTTAATAAATCTAAATCTGTACCACAGACGGTATTTGGTCCATCCGCTCCATCCAGGAGTCTGGAATTACGAGAAGTATGAATCTCCGTGTAATTATCTCTGTCGTTTCTCAATGTATAAATTGAATCGATATTATTTTGATCATTATAAGATACATCTTGAAATGTGGTACTCAAATCTCCTATATCTTCTGAATCTGATTCCAAACTACGTACATTACTTTCGATTGTTGCAGTAAAATCTGATCTTGAATTGGACGATGTATTTACAATTGGATTTGATATTTCATATGAATTAGTACTTTCATTATTTTGCAAAGTATTCTCCGAATGAAGATCCGAAGATTGAATATAATTTCTTGATTCTAAATAATTCTCCAAATTAGGATATCCTTGAAATTCTTCTGCTTGTAATCTAAGGGCAAGTTCTTCATCTCTGGAAACATCTGTTTCTTGAACTATGTTATAAGAACCATTTCTAAGATATAAATCGGAAAGCCTATTTCTTGTATCATTATTTGATTCAAAGTTGGTATTTAAATTGGATGTTTGATCTTGGGTTAAATTAATACATTCTTCCATATACTCGACCGATTCCATCTCATTCGTTGGATATTCCATTAATCTATTGCACAATTTTTCTACATGTAATGGGTTGTCGTATTGTGGTATGTAAGGTTTTATATCCAATACCGGTGTTTGATCTACCATATCTACACCCTCAAAGTAAATAGTATAATTATCAATTTTTAATATTTTCACTAAACTCAAGCCAATAGGACAAGGACGATGAGGAGAACGTGTAGAGAATACACCTGTTCTAATGCCGTTCAATCTTGGTGGAGCCACTTTAGCACGAATATGCGTTGAATCATTTCTATGGAAATGAAATATGATCCTAAGAAATAAAAGTTTTGTTATTATTATATAAAAATATGATTTATAATATAATATAAATACTTGATCTATTTCAGTTTACCATAAATGAGAAAAGTCTTGTAATCCTTGGAGCGCGTGATCAGGATTTGTAAACACTGAATTATGAATTAATATTTTCCCCGATGTTCTTCCAGAAACTCCAGGCTGTCGCGGTACACCTCTTTTATTGGGAAAACAGGTAGAAATTATCCCAATTGGTTTTAATTTTAATGTATCCTCTTCATTGCTTGTACCAGGCTTAACGTCTTCCAATGATCTTTTCTTAGATTCCAAATTGGTTGTACCATTTTTACATAATTCCAAGAGATGTTTAATATTATTAATATCTTTTTCATGCATGTATCGTAAACTTTTTATTTGTTGCCTGAAAATGAAACGTTAACAATATTAGGTTTAATAGGTTATCTCTGAAATAAATTCTTTGTGAAAGTTTCGCTATAATAAAATAATTGAAAAATAGAGAAGAAATGATAAGAAAAATATTACCTTAAATTATTAATCTCGTTTCTAGCCGCCGTTAATTGTCCAAGCATATGTTTCATATTTAAATCTGAACTTTGACAGTTCGATTCCATATTTAAATTTGACTGCAAATACGTATTACCGGCATCATCAAGAATGATGATATGATATAAGAAATATTATTTCAAAAGAATTTTATTTAATATTAATTTATATAAATACGTTATTAAATTTTATCATTAGAAATAGCATAACACGGTACGTTTGTATTTTTCACGTATAATTAATGTTTGTACTTTTTTTTTTAATTAAACGTACACGGACACATATAACACACGCGTCCAAGAAATATAATCAGGAATCGATAGTGTACCGTGTACCAAAGTTATGTATGTAGCGTAACGCATTACCATGAATGTGCATTTATGACGTAAATACTTCATTAATATTTTAATCAGAATGACTTTGATATATTTTCTTTAAAGAATTAATTAAAATTCTAATAAAAAATAATAAATATATTCTAAAAAAAATCGATGGGCGAATAGAAGGAGGCCATTTTTTCGGCATGGGATTGGTTCGTGCATTCTTCCACGGACCAATGAGAATCGACCCTAGCGATTAATCGCGATTCTCTATATCGCATTGAACTACTTAAACAAAATGGCGACGGGAGACAAATTTTAGTGAACATGCAGCTTATTGATCCCTGCAATAAGTGTGATATATATACATTTATATATTTATATTACTTGCAAAAAGAATTTCGTTAAATTAATTAAAGAAATATATATCTTTGTTTTGTAAATCTATTTAAAAAAAACTACTCATTGAGAGTATGGATTTAATAAGACCGATCGTTATTATTTCAACAAGAGTTAACTTGTTATATAATATATGTAGTTTCTATGCATAGAGCTTGCATTCCCAATTCATGTGAATTCGCCGGCTGTGTTAACGGCTTAACATGGCTTAACATTATCATCTTCGATCGCATTATATGACAGTGATTTGCTATGGTCATTTAATGCACGTTATACTTGCATACCATACCAATTACTTTTAAAGCAATTACAATCAATGTTGTTTCAATATTAAATGCGCATATATGTGTCAAAATATTAGCACTTGGCATATCGTAAACAGTCAGACTGTTTTTAAAAGAGAAGAAAGAAATAATAAATAAATTACTAGATTAATATTGTTAGTGAAACGAAGGTTTGTAACGTTTAAATATTCTCTGCACAATTAAATAATTTATTATTCTTTTTTTCTCTCACACACATTATTAATTCCTACAAATATATTAGTGAGTTAACTCTGTGATCGCACATATATAATTCCTTTATTAATCATTCTAATATTAATATCTCGGTCATTATTAATATTTATACAGTATAAACCATTATTAATACACAATTAACAATATCCCGCATTGATTGACGGTCGATATAAAAACAAAAATGGACTTCTTATGCAGTTATACAAAGTTCCAGATGTGATGTGTCATTTTTGATGTGCATACTCCTTCGCTTTTTTCTTATCATCTATATCTATTCGTCGAACGAAGAAGACGTGCGTGAATAGCTTTAAAGTAAATATTGTATTTAAACATTTTTATTAAATTCTCTTAAGTGATTTTAATTTCTCTTCGACAAAATTTATTACTTTTTTTTTTTTTATATTTCGTTCGATTCAATAATAATTTTAACGAATAGTAAAATTCGTATTTATATAAAATTTACATATAAAAGTATTTGTGTATGAATTAAAAGATACTTTAGAATGAATAATATAATCACACACACACACACACACACACATTAAAAATAGATTGTTGTGAAATAGATTATATTGGAATTTAATAACTGCTATAATGTTAACGTTCTCGTAATTGTGTGATATAACAGAATAATAATAAACCTTACATTATTAACATTTACAATAATTAATAATCTTTAAATGTCATTAATTTTTCTATCGTATGTCATCATGTTGTATTATGTTCTATATAATTGCTAATGGTCAAAGGTTATAAGTCTTTATTTATATAAAGTGATATAATATTAGATTTAAAATGAATAGAATTTCAAATAAAAAAATGTAGTAATACGTTATTGAGTGTTAAAGTATTAATATAATATTGTGTTTAATAATTCTACGAATACATATATTTATTTTCTACAGTTAAGAAACACAATGGCATTTCACGAATTAGTAGAAGCAGAATGTGGTGTTCCCAGTTCGTTGATACGCCTTACTTCACATTTTGTGAAAGATCATGGTTTCAAGGAAGAAGGAATACATCGTCCTTTTATACCACCGGAATCATTTCAACCAACAGATTCTGAACAATTAGTAAAACAATTTATCGAAGAAACATCATGTCCACAAACGTTTCGAATGGATAATTTATTACAAGAGATGCGTGAGATAGATCAAAATATACAACCACCTGTAGCTGCACCAGGAGTAGTCAAGGAATTAACCGGTTCAGATACATCTTGGGCGAATCAATATCTAGAATCTGGGAGACACTTTGTTGTAATTTCTATTTTCACAAATTTTCTTTTTTTGTTATACATTTTGTAATAGATAACATTAATTCGTTGAACGCCAGCCTTATCTTATTGCGGGATTCCTATTTTACTCTTTTATGTATCGATATATTGTATTTGCCATTATTTATTTATTTCTATATATTTTTTAACTTTTAATAAAATACAGACAACAATGAGAGATATTAATACAAAATCTAGATCAACAATCGCTTTGCAAACATTTATTTAGAAATGGTTATTCTATTTGTCGTAGACAAGCATTACAAATTCTGGCATTCAATGTGTTATTATTATTTAAATTGAATATATTTAATATTGGAATGAAAAATGTTTTGTAGGAACATCATGCAGATGATATTTGGAATGCGTCAGCAATGAAAAACAATCAATCTTCGATTATTCAAGCTCAAGAAACTCACGAATTTGGGTTGGATCCAAAATGGGCGGAAGAATATTTGGAGCATAGTATAGATAACGTAGAAAATAAAATTACCAAGCATGAAGTAGCGGAAACAATAGAAAATAATGAAAAATCTAAATTGACGTATTCGAAATTTATGAAATTTATGAGACAGGAGGGTGAAGTTCCAATAAAAGATGTTGAATTGTCATTGCCTGATTCTGATAATATGGATAATTGGACGGAAGAATATATCAATCAAAAAAGTGATCAAAATACATCAGAGAATAGTAACGATGAAAATAAAGTTTTGAATAAATTAGAAGAAGATTTATCCGTGGCTGGTACTTGGATAGATGAATTTGAAAAGGAAAATATGTTTTCTGCGGGTAAATAAATAATATTATTTCTTTCTTTTTTTTTTTTTTTTTTTTTTTTTTTTAAGTAAAATATTGTGAATCAAAATGATATTTATAAAATTTAATTGAACATTTTAGATGCCGACAATTACGAGTCTACATTCTGGACGCGTCTTCAAAACGAATGGGATAAAATATCATCGTCGGATGATATTTCAACGGTACATCCATGGATATCAGAATATGAAGCATATTATGATCCATTTAAGGATTACGTTTTTCACGATGAGAATCCTATGAAGAATTTGTCAGATGCGCTGGAGGAAGGTATAAAAAGATTGAACGCTGGTGATTTACCTAGCGCGGTTCTTTGTTTCGAAGCAGCTGTACAACAAGATGAAAATAATTCAGAAGCTTGGTTACTTCTCGGCAAAACTCAAGCAGAAAATGAGCAAGATCCTTTAGCTATATCCGCATTAAAACGTTGCCTGAAGCTTGATCCTTTAAATGGAACAGCCCTAATGGCTCTTGCAGTTTCTTATACAAATGAATCTTATCAAAAACAAGCATGTTTAACGCTAAAGGAATGGTTATTGAAGAACGAAAAATACAAACATCTTTCAACCTCGAAAAATGTCGTAGAACACAATCTAAGATCAAACGTATCAACAATTTTATTTGAGTAAGTTCGATGTATCATATTTAAATTAAATATATAGAACAAAGAAAGAAAGAACCTTCCTTTTTTTGTTTTTATTATAGTGATGTACACAATGAAGTAAAAAAATTATATATACAAGCAGCTAGAATGATTCCTCGAGATCAAATAGATGCTGATGTGCAGTGCGGTCTTGGCGTGTTATTTAATTTATCTAGTGAATACGATAAAGCTGCTGATTGCTTTCAAGCTGCTTTACAAGTTCGGCCTGATGTATGTATATATTTCCTATAGAATAATGTAAAGCACGTTATATTGAAATGAAAAGTTTATTTAATTACAATGGCATAACACTTATACTTGTACACTTGCTAGGCGAGAAGTACAATTTATTTGATTTTTTTCTAGGATTCTAGATTATGGAATCGATTAGGCGCAACATTAGCTAATGGTCAACGTTCAGAAGCAGCAATAAATGCGTACCATCGTGCCTTAGAATTATCTCCAGGTTTTATCAGAGCACGTTATAATCTTGGAATCTCTTGTGTTAATTTAGGAGCATACAAGTAAATGCAACTAGTCATATTTTGTATATTTTGATATATCATTACACGTCGTATCATATATTTGATTATTATATTATATTTTATAGGGAAGCCGGAGAACATTTACTTACAGCTTTGAATCAACAAGCTGCTGGTAGAGGAGTTCAAGGAGAACACATAACACCTAAAGCAATGTCTAACACAATATGGTCAACTCTTAGGCTAGTTTTGTCATTGATGCACAAATATCATTTGAATGAAGCCATAGAAAATAGGTACCCTTTTTTTAACACGTTATATAAATTTTAATTATATTATACATATATAAGATATTAATAATAGATTATATTTTATAAATATTAAGTTATTTTGAATATCATTTAAATATATAAGCACCGTGTAATTACCTCTTAAGTTTTTCTTTTTTTTTTTGCAGAGATTTGTCAAAGTTAAATAAAGAATTTGAGATTGTATAGGCAGTTTCTGCCTTTAATAGAAAATACAGAGATAGCAATGATTTGAGCATGAAATAACTGCATTATTATATATAAAGGCATGTATACTTCTGGAACCTCTGGGATGTAGCTATTATAAAAGAAATACAGTTTTTTCATTATTGAGATATAGAAAATAAATGAAATAAAAGATATTTTACATAAATCACAAAGCAGTTATATATATGCGTGTAATTGTACATGACATAATAATAACGTTCAAAACAACTTTTCTATTTATATATATTTTGATCTTACAAGGGTGATTTTGATACTATATTTACATATATATAACACACAATATGAAAATAGTACTGGAATCTTAACCACAATGGAATTTATTAATTCTTCTAATACATGAAATTATTAAGTTCAATTGTAATAATCTTGTTGGATAAAAAAAAATATTGTTACCTTCATAAGTCAGTTGTAATGCCATTAAAATAATTATACTCAATTACGAAGTTGTTGTGAAGAATCAATTATTAGCGAAGTTTATCGTTGTGCCAATTTATCGTTGAGACAATTAATTCACTGTTCTATACAGATATTAAAATCAATGGAAAAATACAACGTGATGAAAAATAACACAGTTATATAAATAAACAAAAATTAATCTCTAATTTTTAAACGAAAATCATTACTCTATGTATTAATGGAACGATGCTGGCCATTATCCAATATTAAAGAATATTATATGTCATATTAACCCAGTGATATATTGCATGGTAAGTGAATCAAAATAAAATATTATATTCTTTTTCTCTTTGTGTTTTCATATTCTAGGATAATGAAAGTTATTCAACAAGATATTAATGAATTGTTTTTATAATAATTATTGCATTATATTTTTTTTTTTTACTCTTATTCCTATCTTCGATGAAATTGTTTTTTCAATTTTAATCTACAGATCTATTGTATATCTTTTATTATACAAAAAAAAAAGAAAAGGGGAAATGGATTAATTATTGTTAAATGAATACTAAAGTTCTGCAGTATATGATTAAAATTTGTATTTATATATATTTTTCGACAATAATAATTTATAAATATTTCAGAACTCTCTAACGCAATTATATTGGATTTATAACAAAGAAAAATTATTCCTAAAGGCACATCAAAAAGAGTTACATATTTTATAATACAGATATTAATCATGGAACACTAGGTTGTGTAGAATCCAATAATGAATTTAATAAAAAATTATTATTTTAACGAAGTTTACTACTTCTATAATACATTGTTCTTCCCTATAGCAAATAGGATATATCAAAATTCTATAATACAAGATAAATTCTAGATTAATAATTATAGTATTGATCGAAGAAATATAATATATAATGTTATTATTTTTCGCTCGTATTAAATGTCAATTGATCGATGCATTTAATTTCAAACAATTCTCTATCCATTTTCATTTGAAGATACCCTTTTTTATATAAAAAAAGTCAAGTTTTATTAAAAAAAAAAAAAAAAAAAAAAAAAAAAGGATTATTTGTATCGAAAAGTTCTTCATAAATATATTTGTAACCAGTCACAAACCTATACGTATATATACTAAAAATTAATTATTACTTACTATCGTATACAGACAGAGAAGAGTGTTAAGAATTATTCTGTAAAAAAATTTATAGGAACAGTAAAATGCAACCTAGTTTTACTTGAACGTTGTAAAAAGATATGCAGAACACTTGTATTCTCATCTGTATATTATTACATATACACTATACTATTTTAATTACACATGCATAAATATATGTGTTTGGTAAAAGTCTTACAAATGAAGTTTATAAAAATCACAAGAGATACACTTAATGTAAGGAATTTCATTTTATAAAAAATTTTCTAATCAAATACACAATTATAGGGAATAAGAATCTGTTTATCCTATTTGCTTCAGAAACAGTATATATTTAAATGTAAACTACAATAAATCTCTCTCTCTCTCTCTTTCTCGCTCTCTCTTTCTCTCTATATATAGAACATTGCAACAGCTGATTATATCATAATTTTTTCGTTTATATAATTTTCATTTTTTTTTTCCTTTTTTCTTTCTTTTTTTTTTTCAATTAATTTCAACTAATTTATAACATTTCATAAATCAAAGGATATGCTCAACACGTTCCTTTTTTTTTTATAGATATAATTTTCAAATATATTTGATGAAAGATAGGAGATGCTGTTGTGTTGTTGGAAATTTAAATAATTATTACACTAATTAAATTTTTACCCTAATAAAATTTCTAACTAATATAAGATAACTATTTATCAAAATTAATATCACAGTATGTATAAATGATTTCAACATTGTGGTAATAAAATTTTTGACGAGAACAATTAAATTAAATTTGAAAATTATCGAAATAAAATAAAATTATTATCGAATTAAACAAAAATACAGAAATATATATATATGGACTCAAAATATTGTTTGCTTGGTTTTTTTTTCATAGTAGTATGTAATGCGTACACATTGTAGGATTTGTTTTCAATTGGTATGATATATTTGATTTCTATTTCTTTTCTTTGAAATATTTAAATGTGTCCTTTATTATATCGTTTAATTCCACATATAACTTTCTAATCCTTGTAATAATTGTTACCTCTTCAAATATTTTTATTATTTTTCTCTCTCTCTTTTTTTCTCTTTCTCTCTCTCTCTTTCTTTCTCTCTTTCTCTATTATGTAATTTATAAATAAAAATTATCTAGGATGAGTTTACAACTTCAAAGTTGATAATAATTGTTGGCTAGTTTCTATTATTAATGATTTTACATGATCCGCATGCATAATTTGAGTACACATTTCGGTACATTTTTGAAAAGCCATCGTATTATCTTTTGGTAAAATGTGATGTAGACTTTTTAAAGATAAAACGTGCGGTAAATGATGTAAAGTTTCTGTAATTATAAATTGTTTCTAAGCATTAAAGAAACAAAAGAAAGAAAATATATAAATAATATAATATCAAATAATATAAATATTTGATCAAAAGCAATTCTTTAAAAATAATAACTTTTTCTTTTTATGTGTTATAACTTACCTTTCATGATTTCGCTATACATGCAATGTAATTCTGCTTGTTCAGTAAACACGGAAATTCTATTCTGCAATAACTCGATAAGATATTTCCACTCAACTTCTTTAGTATATTTATCCTGGAATAATTAAAGCATAAATTATATATAGTTTATGCATAAAATATTCTAATAGAGTAATTAATTTAACTAACCAAATTTTTATATTACCTTCGCGTATTGTAATACCGCCTGAGGACAATTATCCATTAAAATTATTGTTATTTCTTCGGTATTTTGTATATATAATGTTTTAAGCGATAAACTGCCATCGATATTTTGAGATTCTAAAAATTGTTTAACTTCCTGCAAACATTCAAGTGGTAGAAATTCATAGGATAGCACGCATTGTAATTTGAACAATTCAGGATGAATGGTTTTCCCTGAATCGGATGCTGCAGTCATATTAATGAAATCTTTAAAATCATTGGTAGTTAAAATTTTTTGATAATCCTTCATGTACGGAGGCATCTTATTTAAGTATTGCGGCCTGCATTTTGCAAATACAAAATCCTTGTCAATATTGTCCTTGCTGCGTTCTTTGCTCTCAATATTGTACATTTTTGTTTGAGTCAATTTACCCAAATACGAACGTACTAATAATTTGAATGCCTCTACCATAGCAAAATCAGAAGATATTTTACTTCTATTTATGTTAGATAAGTCGTACATTGATTTAATGTTAAAGTAATTGTGGAAATATTTTTCTATAAAAATTTGTAAGGCTGCTGCAGCATTGTGCCCGTCTCTTCCAACACGAGATGGTAGATATTCTAAAAAGGCTTGTAAGATTTGGTGCAAGGATAAACTGCTGTTATCTTCTTCTATTATTTGTATAAGTATCTCAGCGAATGCAATAGTCTTCTTATGTAATAACATTCCAGCAAAATCTGAAAATGTAGGGACTAACGTACTTCTCTTTTTTACTGCAGTCATCTCGAATAACAAGTCCCAATGTTCCAAAATCATTTTTTGAATACATTGTACCGAAACATGTTCTAAAATGTCTTCTGCATGATCTTGCTTTTGATTTTGTACGTACAATAATGCTAATGCTAAACGAATCGGATCACATATCTCATATGATAAAAGTAAATTTATTAATTTATCTGTCATATAATCTCTCAGTACAATGCTTCCAAAAATTAGTTTCAATAATTCTTCCTTTTTTAATCTGCAGATGATTTCTATAATATTGTGTCCTTGAAATAGTGTATCAGCTTCAGTGCCACATCTCATTATCATCAGAATATCGGTTAAAAATATTATGAGACCTGGTGCATCCTGAGTTGATTTCCTTGACAAAACTTCAGAAGGTTTTAAACCTGACATTTTGTAATAAGGTATGCATAATTCCCAATCCGATTCATATTCTGAACGTATATAATAATCTCCTAATAATGCACAAGATTGATTATACAAATTTTTTAATTTCAGCCAATTTTTATGTGCTGCATCATCATCGTCACTATCAAAACCATAACAAGAACTATCCTTAGCTAAGCGTATCAAAGCATGAGCCTCGCCCAATAAATGTCTGTACGTACTGGGACTAGAAGATTTATGACTTCTTGCAGCATTTAAAATATCGTAGTATACATTCTCCAACTTAGGTAAGATTAATGAATATAATGTCCAAGAATTATCAGCTTTAGCTAATAAAAGTAAATAATTTTTGGTATATAATAGCTTCTGTATCCCCAAAAATGGTTTCAATCCTATCAAACATACAGGTTCTGAGATACTTGGACAGGTAACTTTATATTGATCAATATCATTCAACATTTTTGCCACGTAATGTGATAAGCGTAATGTGTAAGATTCTAAACCGACGTCAGTCAATGCATGAAGTACTGTATGCTCGAGTGCAACGTAATTAACAGGTGCAGTAAATGGATAAGTCGTTAAACAAGTTGCGTCTAAAGGATTTGCACTTGTCGCTGAAAAATGGTAAAGATATCCTTCTTGTATCGTACATACAAAGCAACTTACACCTTGTAAGTATTTGTATTTATCAGATCTTAAAATAGATTTCTTTATACAAGATCCGTTACATTCCTTCCTCATATATAATGGTTTTAACACAGAACATTTAAAATATTCCATGTTTCTATCTACTTCCGATTTATTATTAGCAGTAGCAATTCTAAGAGATAGGAGATTTTTTACAGTATAATTTTCAGACCAGCCAGAATCAGGCGAATTAGTTTTAATAATTATTTTCATATCTGGCGGATTTAAAGTAAAAGGACTAAGAGTATGTCCAGGACCAATTCTTTCCAAACTTATAGATGGAAAATTTACAGTCAACGATTGCGAATTTGTATCAATTATTTCTTGAGTTACCAACCTTTGTAATTCTTCTTTCTCGTTATATATTAAATGATCCCAATCGATAAGTTCATTATTTGTTTTTGATTTGATTTTCTTTATATCCATTGTTTCCGATTTGCACCATGCATTTATTTTTGATGTAATATTTTTTTTGTTTTTACTCTTCGTATTAAGTGCATCATTATTCTCTAACATAACGTGTTGCTCCGAAACTTTGTGCTTTAAATTTGTTCCTTGAACAGTTGTTTCTTGATCCTGATTACTAGACGCATGATTACTATCTACAAGCGAGGAGTCATTAGATATTGAAGTTTTGTCAATGGATGATTCATTAGTAGACGTTAATGAACTAAGTTGATCTATATCCTCATACATAGAATTGGTTAATCGAAAAACGCATAAATTTGTACTATCCATAATAATTATAAAATCTTCCGCAATTTCCATGTGCATAGGGGAAAATGAAAATCCTATAGACCAAGGTCTCGCTTCAAAATCAATAAATTTCAATTTAGACAATTGTTGCGTTTCGACTTTATATTCATGAAGTATAGCGGTATTTCCCGAAGCAACTAACAAATTTCCAGTACTTTGACAACAAGCTATTAACGTTGGTTGCATGCTTAAAGGTAATTCTATCATTTCCAAACTATTCAATGGTCGATTTAAACTCGGAGTCACACGACCCGCAATTCTAGCTCGCATCGGTTGACTTTGATCCTTTACTACCGCCCAATTTACATATATTCTTACAAAATTATTAATAACTTTGTTCCCATGAGTATTACTTATATTGTCTCTAGAATATTTTGATTCCAATGTCGCAACATAATCTCCTTTAGAACAATGTAATATTTGACTAATCATATCAACGGTTGGAAATATTGTATGCAATTTGATGTCGGACGGCATCAGCTCCCATACTTCAACACAATGCGTTGAAAGAGCTAGCAATAACATTTCCCGTCCATTAGTAGTTGCAACACATGTTGCCGTTGATTCTTCAATTTGGGTAACATTTTGTCCCAAAAAATTATGTACCGTTATAACACGCACCATTTTTATTTTGCTATGATATAACTTTTTCAAGCATAATTACAGAATGATTAAATCCTTTTTTTTTTGTTTTTTGAAAGACCTGTAATATTAAAAAGAAATAATAATAATAATAATATAAACTATATGCGTAATAATAGCATACATAATTTATGTTTTTACCTCACAAATATGAAAATGAACTTTTACCTTGTAAATAATCAAAAAAAAGTATATAAAATCATCATTATTTCACGCACATCTTTTATTTTTTTATAAATAAAAATCTTATAATCTTGTTCCTAATAAATATATCAAAGTATTATTTTTCAAAGTTATATTATATATATATATATATATATTTTCAAGTTATCTCTAATAATAGCTTTTATGTAGGTTCAATAAGGAATGACAATTACGATTAACAATAATGAACTTATTAGAATTCACTTGTAAATGTCCTACGAGATAAATTTTTCGTGATAATTAATTATTTATAATTAGTCTTTTTATATTAAAATTAACGTATACGGTTACACAACTATGTACACAAGAAAGGTGTAGAAACATGTCAAGATCAACACTCGAGTTGCTCGACATTTTCCATTTATATTGCACATGCGCAAATTCGTTTACAAATATATGCCCGAAATAAACTTCGCACATGCGCTCTTTTATTTGATCAATTTATTGCACTTTAAATCATTAGAAAAAATACTATTACTGCCTTTTTTTTATGCGACATTTCATATGTTTATTAAATAATATTAAAATTCTACATAAGGAGAAAAAAAATATTAACAATTGTAATAATTAAATATATTTAAAAGAATTTTTAAGCTATACACAGTTAATTATTTATAAATGTACTTATAAAATACATACTTATAATATATAACTTTATTTAATAATACAACATTAATAGGAGATAAAATATTTCTAAAGTTATATGTATAGTGTTATAAAAGATATATTATAAAATAGTACAAAAATAAGATGCATTACAATTTTGTCATTTTTTGTTTATGTTACGTATATATAATAACAAATATTCTCCTTTATTAATTTATACCATCCATAAATTAGGATGTTTGTTAATACAATAACTATACATTACATATTTGTAATGCCAAATTCAATTGCTTATAACCTATAAGTTATTTTAATGAAATAACTTTTTCGATATGGTCTTTAAGGGTTTCTAGTTGACGCATAGTTTCTGGATCTAAATCTGGTATGTGCGACATGCGTAATCCATCATTGGGTAATAAAGACATAATGTTTCCATTACTCAAAGGTACATTAATATTAGCAGTTTTATCTGGAACGATAGCAGAAACTAATAACGGGCTGCCTTGCATACTTAGTACCATTTCTCCTTCACGTGGACGTCTGAGCACATTCAAAGGTGTATTTGGTTTAACTTTAGGAGTAATAAGATTATATTCGTTCTTCAGAAGCTTAGAAGGTGCCGGCGTCTTAAATTTATCCGATTCTGGATCTAATTCGTTGTTGACGTATCCTTTATTTACGTTTTTCATTAATGTCTTGTGCGTTAAGTCAGTAAAAGAACATAGACGATTTTTGGAACAGCTACGAGTTACTCTTCTTGGTTTATTTTCAGAAGTTACTTTTTTAGCTCTCGATGCACGTGATGCACGAGATGTACGAGGTGCATGCAATGTAGATCCTCCTGTTGTACTTTCTGTTACATAGCCATCATCGGATGTAGCTGTAGCACGTTTGGTTTTTTTTGTTTTCACAGTTGACGGTGCATAAAATATTGACTGCTCATTCACAGATGATGTTACTTCGTTGCAATTTTCTTTCTCATCTTCTTTCCATGCAATTATTTCACCTAAAGTCATTTGCTTTAATTCTGTTGGTATGCCAGTTAATTTAACATTATGATAAGTTTCAAAACTCTCTATACTCATTTTAGCTTCGGCATCTAATTTCGCCAATCTAAATTGCAGTTTCTTATGAAAATCTTTTAGAAACAAATCTGATTCTTCTGTAGACTCTCGGGTTTGTTTGGATTTACGTATCTGTTTCGTGCGTGGCATGCTTTCTAATTGGTAAAATATTGAAAATAACAGAAACTATATTTCGCTATATTATAAATAATAACTTAACTTGGTCTAGTAAACTTTCTTCGCTTTTTTATTGATTAGGCTCTGCCCAATGTTTAAATTCTGTTTACCGCTATGGGCAGTTTCAACCCTTAAAGTAATGATATACAAAGAAATGTTATTAATAAGGTTATAAACGGTATTGCCCTCTAGCGAGCAAACAAATAAATAAATTCAACTAATTATGAAAATGTTTATAATGATTATTTTACAATATATATTTACAAAATTATTATAAATTGTATAATTAATTATTGAGTTTAGAAAATTATTGATTAACATATTAATTATAATTAGCCTTTCGACAACATTTAAAATTTTAAATTTAAACTACATTGGTACGAAGTACGTTACTCGTTAGAAAGCTTATGATTGGCTAATTTCGTGCATATCAAAATGTTAAATCGATTATCGTTATGTTACGTTAATCTTACGATTGTTATAAACAATTTATTATTTTGAAGTTTCGTATTATATAAATTATTATTTTTTATTGCTATTGTATAATGAATAGCAAAAATGCAAACGCCTACTTTACTTCTGATTATAAACGAAATGAAAGAGAAGAAATGTTAATAGCACCACCATTAGACTTTTCATTTAAAAAAGCTACTAACATGAATGGTATGTAAACCTAATGGTACTAAATAACAATTTCTTTCTCTCTCTTAATTATTTAATTTATAATATTTAATAAATATATATTAATATATTAATAATAACATTACTAACTAATTAAAAGAATTAGTTAATCAACAACCTCAGACGGTACGAACTATTAAAGCACCAGTACGAACGTCTAAAGATCGTTTTGCAACAAGTACAATATGGTTGAGTAATAATTTATTAAAATCCATGGAAGGACTTGAGAATTTTACCAAAGCAGTTCTAGAAGATCCAACTTGTTTAAGCTGGTTAGATCTTTCATTTAACGCAATCAACGAAATTGGAGTTGACATCGCAAAATTTCCTAATTTAAAGATTCTATATTTACATGGGAATAACATTTCCAATATAAATGACGTATTAAAATTAAGAAAACTATGTAATATGAGAGCCTTAACGTTGCATGGAAATCCAATAGAAACTTTACCATACTACAGAGGTTATATAATTAACGTTATGTCACAATTAATCAATTTAGACTTTTCTCCAATAACTATGTTCGAAAAGAAACGAGCAGTACCTGCTGGATTTTTTAAAATAATACAACCTGCTTTGTAAACGTAAATATTCAATATAGTTTATAAAGTATTGTATTATTAGTTTGCGTAAAATTAATCAATGAAAATAAGGTATCACCTGTACTTATATACTAATTTTTATTTGATTTAATAATATTTTGTAACAAACATACATTTATTAAATTGTACCTGTAACGTTAAATTAGTATGTTCTCTCTTTGCTTTTACTCAGGGCCGTAACATGTTTGAAGATCTTGGAGACATAATTTTAAATTTTTTAATAAAATTTAATATTATAGTATATGATATTAAATTATTAATTGTTAATAAACAAAATACGGGCTATAATTATTAATTTTTATATTATTACAAGACATTTCTTTTTTGTATACACAACATATCGATTACTTTATTTTGATTGGTTCTTATTCGTATTGATTGGTCATAAGTTTATTTCCATTGGTCGATGATTAACACGTGCGTTCTGGTTGGTTCAATAAGAAGTTAGGATCAAACACGAGATGGCATTACGAACTACCTAAAGAAACGTGTACTATATTATCAAATAACATATGACTAGTTATCTATTCTTGAAAATAGTTAGCTTCTCTGATTGTCACTAATAAACGTCTCTGGATAGAGAAAATTACTACGTTTCCTTCATTATTGTGAATTATTATATTTATATAAAGTGTGTATATTAATATCGTCTGAAATAATAATTTAAATACATTGTATAACATTAACTTTTGATTAGAACTTTATATACAAGTTACATAATAATTTGTCTATCTTTTAACAAAAGGTGTTAGGGAAAAATATATACAAACTTATAAGATTTTATTTTTAATTATATAAAAAAAATTATTACCAAATAATTAATCATATATTTACTGATTTAGATTTATTACTGTTTTTATTTTCTGTCCTGAGATTATAGGAATAAGCATTAACTATAAGGAAGAATTCTATTTTCTTTAGATGTCTTCTGCAGTCAAGACATTACCCAAACCAAATCTTCGTAATTTGTTATTAAGGAAGATGAAAATAGCTTTTATCGGTATGGCAGTAACTTCAACTCTTACAACATTAGCCTACAAAGTATTTATTGGTGATGCAAGGAAGAAAAAATATGAAGACTTTTACAAGTAATATAAGCATTCTTAATACTTTGTATTTTTTGTTATACTGTAAAGTATATATTTTTATTTTATTTTATATCTATTGTTATACAAATTTTACCAATTAATTTACAGAACATACGATCCAGAAGTAAGTCTCAAGCGTATGTGCGAATCCGGTTATATGCAGTCATGCGGAGATCATCATATAGTTTATGAGTAATTATTTAAATAATGTACATAGTTCGTCATAGTATACCGAATTCATATATATAAAATAACTTAAATAAAATATACATCTGTTATATACACATGTCTATAATACATTAAACTTTTACATTTAATCATATTCGTTATTTCTATATAGGTAATTTACGGTTTAAAAGATAATTCTAATAAAAATAGAAATTTATTTAAATTATTGTTAAGGAATATTATTATATATATAAATTTGCAGTCTCAAGATGTATAGAATTCTACTGTTAAGAGAAAAAAGAATGAAAAAATTTAAATACGTTAAAGAAATAATGTTTCGTTGAAAATCATTAATGGTAAGCATAGTATTGCACTGATAATATTTTGATAATATACTACTAATAAAAAGTAATATAAGAAAATATTAAAATATGTAAAAATGTTAAAAGAGGATTTTTTAACCATAGATTAAAAGATCCAATACACGCATCTATGTAAGAATATAATTAATTCGTAAAAAAAATATTCATAAACTTAGATTAAGAATCGTTAATAAATATTTTTCGCAAGTATTGAATAATAATTCTAACCATATTGGCATAAGGGGTTAAAGAAACTCTGATGTTAAAATAATTAGTAAGATGGCGCCGCAAGATTACCCAGCATGCCCTGCGCGATTGATTTGCGCATGTCAATTGTTCGCATTGCAAATGGCGGCTCCTTGTTATTGTTCATGGCGTTTTATGACTTGTCCCTTTATATTACCGATTATGTCGAGTTTTTTCGCAATCTTCGCCGCGCGCACTGTGCAGAAAGTGGAATAAGATACGCGCGGTGTATTTTAGGTTAAGCTAAGTGCTTTAGTGGTGTGTCTCCGTACGATTTGGACGAGAGAAATCCCACACGAAATTGGAAAGAAATGGGGTAACGTTAAAATTTTCCTGTGTTCATACGGTATCAATTCATAGTATGCGAGGACTAAAATCAGCTTAGGTGTTTCCTATAGACCTTCCATTGAATCTAATCTTATTTGGTAAGCGAACATAACAATGATAGGCATTAAACATTTGTCAAATAAAAATCTTCCGGATCTTTTGACGGTCTATCTCAACATGCTCGAGCCCACTTCACGTACACCTCCCCCGACGGACAAAATGGTGGCCCCCCGATATCCAATGGTCTGGGTGCCTTATTTCGTCAAAAATCATTATGGAATTTCTCAATAGGACTTTTATTTTTTTACATACTCACATTATTTAGATCAACGAGATACTTTTGATTTGCCGCTTAGTTCTATCTAAATATTCTATAACCTATTTTTGCTTATATAAAAATCGTGTGCCCCTGTCTAGTGGCCTAAAAGATTTTAATTGCCGTTCATAAATGGTGAGACTGTTTTCTTTCTTTCTTTCTTTCTTTCTTTCTTTTCTTATTTCTTTCTTTTTTTTTTCCCCTTTTCTTTCCTTTCTTTCCTTTTCTTTTCTCTTTTTATTTTTTTTTTCCTTCTCATTTTCTTTTTCTTTTAATATGTTATCTCGTTGCACCGTGTCAATCGATTTGAGAATAAATATTTGTAATCGTTTAGATGCAATTTTCATATTTTCATTATAATCGTATCTCTCTTTTTATAAAATTATAGATGAGTTATAACCTAGTCATATTTTTCCCTAACATTTTGTGTTTATGATCAGCATTATCTCTCGTTAATATACAGACGAATCGACGATCGTTAAGGATATCGGTATTATTATTATTATGACTTTTAAATTAATGACATTACATTTGGAGTATCATATGTTTGTTGTTTTATTCTATTGTTTATTTTCGTTTGTCCCTCCCTCCCCTCCTCCTCCTCCTCCTGCCTCTCCACCCACAAAATATTATATATATTTAACAAATAAAATATAGTTGAGTCTTTGGGAAAGCAATAATTAATATGAAAAATAAAATATATAATAATAGAAACTTATTTTTTTGTTTATATTTATTTGCACAATTATTGTTTACAATTGATGTGCACCGATAAAACATTTTATAGATTTTTATAAATTATAAGAGAATATATCTTGAATTTTTACTTTAAACCCATTGATAATATGTGATAATAAAAAAAGCAATATTTGTAATATTATTAACCTTTTGAGTGCTGCAGACGCATATATGTGTTTGTTTAAAGTTATCAGCATGGATTATAGATGTGTGTATATGCGTATGTTGGTACGAATATAAATGAAGCAATGGTGGTTTGTGTATTAATAATTGTTTCAAGTCTTGTCACATCAAAATTATACAAAAAAAAAAAACTTTCTTGGATTAGTTTATTTGAGAGAATAATGATTATAATTTATTATTAGCAGTTAGTATAATCAGTATGATCAGTGAAACTCATACTAGCTAAAAAGTATTTCATCTCTACAAAGCACTTCGGTTAAAAGTATTCACTATTCAAAAGTTTTAATAACTACTAGATATCAAAATATGAAAGCTACAAAGTATTGTAGGTATTTAAAGTTATATATTTTATTTTAATTCTGTTCGCTTTAATCTGTTCATTTCTTCAATATGTGTCATTATTTCTTCCAATTAATTCATCATATATGATACCTACAAAGCATATGAATAGATATTAGATTGTAGGAAGTTATAAATATGGTTGCTTTTATTATATTTTTTGTAATCTTTCTTTCTCGACCTTTAAATTCTATATAAATATTTTGAATGAAATAAGACGGTAACGTTACCATAGTTAAATCTATGCACAATATTTCTTGTTTATTGAATTTTAATCATCATTTTTGTCTCTTATTTTTTTTGTTTAAACAGTAAGCAAGTGCATTAGTGCTGGAGTGGTTTGGAGCTGTCGGTTTACAACCGACGAGGAAACATCTCATCACAAATTTATTGTCTTTGTACCCAGAGGTGTCTACCTGGGTAGTTATGTGATTTATGATTGGTACGTATTCCTTTGTTTTGGAAATCCTGAAATCAACCGTTTAATATTTATTTATTTTCTTAATTAAATTCATTATTAATATATATTAAAAATTAAGAATGGATAAGAATTTGTTCGTTAAACAAATAACAAAAATTATATATTGCAGTCATGGCGGCAGATAGTGATGGTGACCTCATTGAGACGGTGGTAACTTGTGAGGGTGACCTTGGTGATCCAGAATTTCCACATAAATTTAAAACCATCGTTGACCGTCTTAAATTTCTACTTTGTAAAGGTTTGTATTGTGAATCTATTGAAAATTATTATTTTGATTTTTCTTAAAGAAGATTTACATATTTTAATCTTATAATTTGTAAGAGTAAGTTTTTGATATGATATAATAATAAAGTTATTTGTATCATGTAAAATAATTATCTATACTTAAAGGAAAAATTATTTATCAATTGCAGAGAAAGGAGATGGTCTAAAAGTTAACAAAGTAGAACCATGGAATTCTGTCAGGGTTACATTTTCCATACCAAGAGAAGCTGCATTGCGATTACGAGAACTAGCAGCGCAAGGATCTTCACTGCTTACTCAACTTGGCATTCTTTCCGTACAGGTTGAAGGAGACCAGGTATAGTTATTGTTTTATAGATTCTAATAGTATTATTTAATAAAATAGTGTACATTAGCAGTAATAAAAGTCTTTTCATTGGAAAATTATGAAAGTAATTAACTTTTTGTGGACTACCGTCATATATATGCGTTCTGCATAATTTGGCCTAGAAACTCATATGCGTTTGGTCAAAACAATTGATAGGGCTAAAAGGTTCATATATGTGATATTAGCGTGTAGGCAGAAATGTGAGCTGGTAATTTCAAGTGACTATCACAACAGTGGCTTGGCCCCGCAGAACGTTTGGCTTTGAACCATTCTATACACAAAAGGTTAATATAATATATTAATGTATTTCTAGGTTATATCTTTAAGGATAGCGAGTCGATTTGGAGGCGAGGCACAAGAAATTGTCTTACGTTCAGGATCTTCACAGGATGCTGGAAATAAATCTCAGAATGAATCTACAAATAGTTCAGTTACTGCTGACAATGATCCTACTATAGCTTTACCGGATCCAAGCAATACATCAACAATATCTTCCGCATTGCGGAATGTTGCTCAAATAATAGCAGCTAGTACGTTTGTCTAATATTAAATAAATATATTTAAAAGATATATATATATATATTTCATTGTTGTCTCTTGTATAATGTTTCAGGTACATCGTCAGAGAAAGCTCCTCAATTTCGTTCTCCAAATGTTGTGGCACCAACAGACTGTGATCCTATCCCACCTTTTCTTGCAAAATCTGTGCCGTCAACGGCTGGTAGTAATGGCGTTGGTACTTCTGGCAACCAACCGGTCACTAATTCTATTGCTTCATCCAGAAATAATTATAATGGTCCATTCCCGTTTGCCAGCATGACGCATGCTGCTCAAGCAATACATAGCCGAGAATCACAAGCAACAACAATAAAAAATACAATTCAGTTTAAGCAGCATACACAGCCACCGCCGCCTTATCCAATACAAGATAATTTGGCAACGGTCACAGCCTTGTCAAGCGGTCATACAACTACGCAAACTGTAGTTACAGTTGGACAATTGACAACTCAGTATAAATCACCGATTACCACAACATCTAGTCTGTCACCAAACAATGGTAATCATTTAACAGGAAATTCTAATGGTAGTGGTAATCAAGTTGCTTTATCGAGTCCATTACTTGTGAATCTTCTGCAAAATGATGCTACCTCACATTCAAATAATGTGATACCTGGTCAGAAAATGTTGCCACCAGCTGTTGTTGATAACTCAGGATTAGCAAATCGTATGAGACCTACGAAGAAGCCAACTGTTAGAAGAAAAGAGCTAACTGTACAAAGTGAATCGCCACCGAATTTAGATTCATTAAGAACAGAAGATCTGATTGGAGGATCAGCCGTTATTGCGGATATATCTCAAAATTCACCATCTTCTGCATTTGCTGCCGTTAATGCAAATCAGCCATCGTCGATTCCTCAACAACATACGGTTAATGTAGTTGGCAGTAGCAGTCAAAATATAATGACACCACAAACTGTTCATCAAGTGCCAGTTGTTGGACAGATACAACAGATACAGCAACAAACACCACCAATACATACTCCAGT